TTGTGGGTTCCCTGCTCACTACAAATTCTGGGAGGAAAGAGGCCGACCTTTAGGGCTGCAGCCTCAGCACTGATTCCTTCAGGGGGCCAAGGGTCTCTGTGAGACAAGGAGACAAGTGAATGGGTTCTCATAACCACAGCCCCATCTGTCACTGGATGAAAATGTTCTTGGAGAACTCTTCGGGGACCATGCTGAAATAATCTTTTTGTTCTTCAGCCTGCATTTAGAAATAGTCTCTGGATATATGACCTGCCAGTATGCACATAATGAATCTGATAACAGCCTTTTTTTAAAAAGGGAAAAGGCAGGTAGGGGAGAACCTTTCCTTTTTTATGGTCTAAGAAACCCAGACTATTATATCTGACTTAGTTCTCATTAATAAAACAGAAGAGACTTGGATTCTCATCTGAGTTCTTCAAATTAATCTAAGGCCTGATTATTCCAAAGCATTACTAATTGTATAGCAGCATCATTTATATCACAGAATGGAAATGACATACATATCCAATCACAGTGATGGTTAAATAAAATATGATGTGCTCGACTGATGGATTCTCCCACAGGCTTCTGATGGAGTCTACAACAAAATCTGAAGTTAGAGTCAAGACATAAAATCACATATGCAGTATGACTGCCATTGTGCCAAATATATCAAATGTACACATAAAAATAGACATCACAGAACACTAATAGTGGCAGTGTTTATATATTAAGACTACATGAATTTTGACTTCTTTGAATTTTTCAATTTTGTCTCTAGTGATTTACTCTCATGGTGAAAAATCAAAATCAACAAATCATTTCACTGCTAGTCAAAAACTTTGTTATTTTCTGCTCTTAAACTTACATCTATTGCTATTGGTTTTGTCTGCCTGGAAGAACTGTCCTGAGGCATACGGGGAAGACTCAACAGGGAACCAACAGAAGCAGTGATGGAAATAAGAGTTCCCTAGCTTAGCAATTGCCTTCATAATTGTCACTGAAAGTCACGGATTCTTGTTATGTGACAGGCAGTTTTTCAAGCATATGTTTTTGTTACTGTTATGGTTTAGATCAAGAATGATCTGCAAAGGGTATCAGAAGCCCCAACTTGAAACTATACTACAAAGACACTGTAAGAAAAACAGCATGGTACTGGCAAAGAAACAGACCTGAGGATCAGTGGAATAGATTAGAAGATACAGAAACAACTCCAAATGTACTCAGCTATCTCATTTTCAACAAAAGGGTCAACCATCCTCAGTGGAGGAATGATAGATAGCCTCTTCAATAAATTGTGTTAGAAAAACTGGATTCAACCTGCCAAAGATTAAAACTAGACCCCTATCTTTCACCATGCACTAAACTAAAGTCCAAGTGGATTAAAGATCCAAATATTAAAACAGAAACACTAAACTTGCTGGAAGATAAATTAGAACTCTTGAAGACACAGGAATAGGAAAAGACTTTATGGACAAATCCTCAGTAGCACAGGAACTAGCAGAAAGAATCAACAACTGGAATCTCATCTTATTAAAAAGCTTCTGCACTGCAAAAGAAACCACCAACAGAGCTAAGAGACAACCTATAATATGGGAAAAAAATTTTACCAGCTGTTCCTCAGACAAAGGACTACTACCTAGAATATATAAAGAACTCAAAGAACTCAGACCCCCCCCAAATATAAAGACCTGATTCAAAAATGGGCATCTGAAATGAACAGACATTTCTCAGACAAACAAGTAAAAGCAGCAAATAAATATATGAAAAAATGTTCAACATCACTGGTCAATTGAGAGATGCATATGAAAATAACTCTGAGATTCCATCTCACGCCAAAAAAATGGCTGCTATCAAGAAATCAACCAATAGCAAATGCTGGCGGGGTTGTGGGGAGAAAGGAATCCTTTTCCATTGCTGGGAGTTCACACTGGTGCAACCACTGTGGAAATCAATATGCAGATACCTCAAACAACTAGGACTAGAGGTCCCATATGACCCAACTATCCCTCTGCTGGATACCTTTCCAAAAGAATTAAAAGAATCATATCACAGTGATATATGTGCACCCATGTTTATAGTGACACACTTTGTAATAGCTAAAACTTGGAAATAACACAAATGACTATCAACTGGAGACTAGATAAAGAAGATGTGGTTTTTTTATCAAATGGAGTACTATTCAGTATAAAGAATGAGAAACTAGAGACATTTATAGGAAAATAGATGCATATTGAGGCCATACTCTTTCTCTTTTTTTTCATTGAATTTATTGGTACTTTTTAGGTATACAGTACAGTTACATTCATCATTGGGATCTTGAACTTTTACATGATGTATCTTGCTTCTCATTTCTTCCCCATACCTCTGCCCTCCCTTCATCACTCCACCCTTCCCTATTTTTAAAATCTTATTGTGTTTATTGGTACTTTTTAGGTATACAGTACAATTACTTTTGTCATTGGGATCTTGTACCTTCACATGACAGATCTTGGCTCTCTTTTCCCCCCATACCCCTGCCCTTCCTTCACAGCTCCACCTTCCCCTATTTACCAAGACTTTGCTTCCATTTTTTTCTTTTTTCATATTTTTTCTTTTCCCTTATTTCCTTTCCCGTACCCTTCCCACTTCCCCTACTCCTTTAGCCCTTTTCTTCCTATTTCACATTATCAGTCACACAATTTAAACCTTATTTACACTTTTAGTTTTTCACCCCAGAGAAACTATTCGGTATTTACACACATGCGCCCTATCCTATTATGAGGCCATACTCTTACTTGGAATAAATAGGACAGGGGTATGGGGAAAAAATGAGAACCAAGATACATCATGTAAAGGTAGAAGATCCCAATGAAGGTACTGTATACCTAAAAAGTTCCAATACACTCCATGAAAAAAAAGAATGTTCCCCAAAGGCCTCATGCACCCAAAGGTGAGAATTTTGGAATGTGATTGAACCCTGAGACCATATAATTGGCTTGCTTTTAGGAGGTGGGGTCTAGTTGGAAGAGGTGAGGTGTTGGAGGTGTGACATAAAAGCGTCCCTCTCACTTTCTGGCTCCTTGCTTTTCTCTCTGCCTCCTGCTCACCATGATGTGAACAGATCTCTTCTGCCTACCCCTTCCACCAGCTGACTATGAATTGAAACATCTAAAAGCTGTATGCCCAAATAAACCTCTCCTAAATTGAACATGTCGATTATGAAGCTGCAGTTGTCTCAGCAACAACAAAGTGACTAAGAAGACTGTGGCACCAGAGAAGGGAGCCACTGTTGTGATTACCTGACCATGTGATTCAGAAGCCTTTGGAACTGGTCTATGGGGGACTATGGAAAGGTCTGGAGAAGCAGACTAACAAAGCCCCAGCATGCTCTAAACTGAGGCAGTCTGGAGCTTGAAAGACCAGAATGCTGACAAAAGAAGGGCAGGTGGTAAAGGTTAGGCCCAGCGGTTCCAGTTGCAAACAAGGAGTCTGTGGGGAGTTGGACTTGAGATCATGTGTGTTATGCTGGGGCAGAAAATTTGTGTACATTATGTGAGACTAAGATTAAAAGTAACAGGGCCAGGGATTTGGCTCAGTGGTGCCATCACCTGCCTCACAAGTACAAGGTCCCGAGTTTGATCCCTGGTTCAAAAAATAAAATAAAATAAAAGGAGCAGCAGATTTACTAATCCGGAGAAATTTCAAGGCAGCCCAAAGCTCTCGCTGTGATATGGGTATTGTTGAGGGCTTTTAACAAACTCTACACTGAGAAGTAAAAGCAAAGGGCACAGCTGAATGATTTTAAAAGTTTTGAGTTTCACCAGAAAAGAAATACAGTAAAGTTGAAATCTATGAAGTTTCAGCTGAAAAGAGCTTGACTGCTAAAAAGATTAACATTAAAAAGAAGCCAAGTACTTTAATCAGGACAACAGAACAGAGGCCTTTAGGCCATCTAAGGAGTTAGTAAAACTTCACCCTTCATAGCTTCAAGGATTCAAAAGTAAAAGACTTTGCTTTGAGAAAAGAGCCCCGGGAAACTCAGCTCATTCAGACCCACTAAGAAAGTTACCCAGAGCTCAGCCGTCCATGCACTCAGAGGCCTCCTCACCATCATCCAAGGAGGTCTGGCTGCTCTTCCTAGATCCTTCTACCAGCTGATCCTGGTCTGAAACCTCCAAAAACCACAAGCCCAAATAAAGTTTAAATTGCAGGTGTTGAGTACTGTAACTCTGAGAAGAAAGTGATTAAGACAATTACATCTCCATGAAAGGTATAGGAGATAAGTATTTTCAAGCAGAGTGTAGTCCAAAAGTTTTGCCCACATAAATCCATTGCTCTGGGGCAATAACTCCTTGTAAAATTAGTCAGCATGCCCAGCCTTACAGATCCAGACCAACAGGGACACAACGCGGGACAGCTTCCTAGTCCACAAGGGACCGATCGCCTGATGCTCCCTAACTGCCAGCACAATTATCAGTGACCTCTTCCCATGAACATGCTGAAAATTGTTTCACCGGCAGACAGCAGCTGACTGAACACACGTGGCTGCCTACATGAGGGCACGGGTGCCCTGGGACTCCCTGTTCTGTGGTCTCATTTTCTCTGCCCAGTAACTTACTATGGAACGGTCCATGCTGGGGGAAGGAGAGGCAGAACAGCTGGAGCACAGAGCAGAACACCAGGAGGGAATCAGTCCTGTTGCCGCAAAGCGTGTCACTAAGCCAAAGCATCCCAGGAAACATGAGTGGGGAGGGGAGAAACAAACACTCCATGAAACCAGCCGTGCTAGATTAGCTGGAAGGAAATGACTGGGTTTAAGGAAGATCCATTAAAAACAAAACTTCAATTTCAAAACAAACTTGCCTATGGGGAGAACTTGATAAGCAAAGGGAAATTAGTAAATGGAGGTAAATTGTAGAAACAAGACCCACCATTAGGATAAATGCTTGAGGAGAATGCTAGGGGTATTACTGAACCCTACTGTGCTCCCTGCCTCCCTGGTGCTTGACAGTCCACTCCCGGTTTGTCCAGACACTTACTTTCTCTGGAACTGGACCACGGGATCAGCAAGCAGGTCAGTGACATCCACCTTTCTGCCCTTCTTGATGACATCAGGATGCTTGCGCACCAACAGCCAGCCAATGTGGGAGAAGAAGAAGCCGCGGCGGGCATTGTGGGGGTCAGCATCTGTCTCCGAGTACTTGTGGTGAGCTCGGTGGTCCCTGGCCCACTCGAAGATGTCGTTCTGCAGAGGGAACACAGACGCTGAGTGAAGGGACAGATGGGCTCCTTGTGGAAAGCTCTCGGCTCTCGGCCCCGCCCCCACTGCTCACTTGTGCTTTCCTCCCATCTTCACCCCAAAGTCCCATCACCCCAAGGTCAATCCCTAAGGATGGTCAGGGGTGGTTTTCATCAGAAAAAGAGTGAATCCAAGCCAGCCATGGTAGTGCACTCCTGGAATCCAAGCACTCTGGGAAGCTGAGGCAGGAGGATGACAAGCTTGAGTACTACCTGGGCAATTTAGTGAGAACTTGTGTCAGAATAAAAATGTCTGGGGGTGTAGCTCAGGGCCCTGGGTTCAATCTCTAGTACTGTAAGAAGAGAAGAGAAGAGAAAAGAGAAGGCGAAGGGAGGGAAGGGGAGGAGAGAAAGAAGAGAAGAGAAAGGAAGAGAAGACAAGGGTGGAAGAATCCTTACTTGGCAGAGGTCTGGGATATGCCATGGCTGGAGGCCCAGTGTGGTTGATGAAGTGCTGTGGAGACCTTAAGAAAAGCCCTGGTTGGGTCTACTGAGGCCTCCTAACAGAACATTTATGTCAGGAAAAGAGAAATCTAGTCCTACATGCAGTCTTGGTTCTCTGAGGAGAGGGATAACCTTGAGCATGACAGATGTCTTGGCTCTTGGCCTGGATCTTATTGCCTGCCACCTGCTTTGTGTCTTCATGTCCATCTCAGAGAAAACAGGAAGTCAGTAATCAAAAATCCCAAAGAGCCATTTCTCCAGATTTTTGCAAAACACCAAGGCACATGTGACATTGCTTTAGGACTATTTTAACAGTGTACAGAAAGGGAGGGCAGGTGACTTTGGCTCCAGAAGGCATCTTAGTGTCCTTGGCAGTATCCACCAAGAGATTCTGCACTTGGCACTGCCCAGGGAGCAGGAGAGCACTCACTGGAACCCCAGGATGGACTGTGATGGCCAAGGATGGAGAAGTATCAGATGCAGTGGCATTTGCCAAGCCCACAGACCCAGGAAGGGACGGGGGGCACAGACACCCTAATGACCTTCTGGGGCAGGGGCAATGGGAAGTGTCAGGGGCTGGGGGTCCTGGTGAGCTCAGAGGGGCGAGAATGGGAGGCATTTGGGCTGTTGTAATTAATGAGACCTTATCTACAGCCACATATGGGCCAAGAGACATACAGATTTTCAACTCATACTCAACTTTTCTGATTTGATTTGTTTTAGTCTGACGATGATTTAAAAATCTGGAAGGCAAATGAGGTTGGGAAGTAGTGCTTTTGTAGAAAAATTAATCTGAAAATCAATTTAGTGCACAAGCCTTTTCTTTATGTTTCCATAGACTTCAGCTCCATCCTGCAGTTGAGAAGAAAATGTTTCATTCTCAAAGTTCCAACAATTCTTTTAATCCAGTGATGGCCTTAAATTTCTGGTTTCTGGGGCTCACTTAGTGCTCCTGTTCAATCCCATTCATCACATGGTATTATTGAAAAAAATTATATTTGTTTATATTTTATATTTGAGTAATGGAACTCAGAGAGAGGCAGCAAAAAGTCCTTAGGAAGTAAGTGCTCAGCTCTGGATCTGAAGAGAGGAAGGGGTGCCTGGATGTCTGTGTTGAGCAGATATGGCCTGGTTTTCTCTAACCTTGAAGAGGTCATTAGATTTCAGCAGTGTATTTAAACACAGTGACTGAAAGCATCTAATCATTTATAATCAAAGAATTTGAAGTCCAGGAAAAATTTCCACTATCAATCAAGACTACTGCCTTCCAATGAAGAATGAATTCCTTTTGCATTAGTGTATTGCTTTTATTGCAGTGCCTAGGAGAGAATAATATAGGAAGAGGTCTCAGTCCTCCGCTCACAGATGGAAAAATAAGGACTAGAGGATATTTACTCAAGCTCATCTAGTTCTTAAATAGTAATGAACAAAGATGGTTCTCCTTCAGCTTGCAGTTCATATTTTGTATCAATATGGTACATTTCCCAGCTAGGAATGGTGGGGTGGGATGAGGCAGGAGGATCATAAGTTCTAGGTCATCCTGGACAGCTAAGCAACTTAACGAGGCTCTGTCTCAAATTAAAAAATAGAGAAAGGGCTGGGAATGCAACTCACTGGGTTCAGTCCCCGGTGCCAACAAAAGAGGGTGTTTCCCATTACTCTTTTCAAGTCTATGGGGTAAAAGTCATTCTTAGAAAACTCACCTTTAAAAATTTTTTTGTTAAAAGATTATATCAGCTCTTTAATTTATAGTCTCTTTTTTTCTTCAGTATTGGATATTGAACCCAGGACCTTTGTACTAAGCTAGATCCCCAGCTCTTTAATTTTAGTATTTTTATTTTTAAATTTCTTTTGAAACAGGATTCACTAAATTATGTGAGCTGAGCTCAACATATGATCCTTCTGCCTTAGCCCCCCAGCGTGCTGGCATTACAGGCCTGCACTACTATGTCCCGCTGATTTCATGCAACTTTATAAAAATTCAAAGTGGGTAGTTCCCAAGAGCTAGACATATTATTCTCATAAAGGGTAATGCAGGGCCGGGGATTTAGCTCAGTGGTTCCAGCACCTGCCTTGCAAGCGCAAGGACCTGCGTTCAATTCCCGGTACCAAAAAAAGTGTGTGGGGGGGTAATGCAGTAAAAAGACTAAACAAAAGACAGAGTAATGATAGTTGGAACAGAGATATTTATCTTAACTCCTTTTACCTCAGTACCCTCTTGACAGAAGTCACTTAACTGTAACAGAAACGAAGCAAAGCTTTTTGGTCATATTCCAAATAATAAAGCACACATGAGCCAAACACACTTTTTTCTTTTCCCTGAGGCAGGGTTTCACTAAGTTAAGGCCCTAAATTGCCCAAGCTGGACTCAGTATTCTGGGATTCCAGGCACGCACCATAATGTTGGCCACTTTATATTTTAACACTTTGTTATTGTTTTGTTTCTAACTATAAAGCTGAGTCCAGTGAAAACATGACCCAGAGAATAAGTCGTGAGTCAACAATAAGGTGGAAATAGAGCAAGAGTCATATTCCCAACCCAAGGGCCTGTCCTTCCTACTTATCTGCACTTTGCCTCCACCCTGAGTGACTGGCAGTGGGTGAGGGCAGAGGAAAGAGCCCTTCTGTAGACATTTTGTAAAGGATGAGAAGGTGTACTACCTAGGCATGTTGCAGGACAGTCAGTCTGTGCTGCAAGACCAGCAAGAGGGAAAACAGATTAATGAAAGGCGGAAATGGGGGTCAGGACATGCAGATGAACAGAGAGAGAGCCAGGTTCTTGAAGCCACAGTCCCGGCGACATCCTGTTACTCTTCCTCCTTCCCAGTGTCTAAATCTATATGTGCCACACCATCATCTTTGCTTCCCAGAAGAAAAAAAACACCTGAGGCACAGAAAGGTGACACATGCCCACCCATGCACCAGCTCTCCTCTGAGTATGCAGTTCATGCAGGTCTTGGGTGCGTGTTTTGTTTGACAGAAGCATGGTGTTGAATTCAGCAGTGACTTCTTTCACATTCGAGCCAATCAACTAACCAATCATGAATTGCACAACTTTATATTTAGCAAAGCTCTGATACATCGCAGTCTAACCTCATTACCTCTGTAGGTGGATACACCCTGCATGGTGAGTGGTGACTGATAGTTCTGACAGTCCTGGGCATACCTGCGGCACAGCAGGTGGGTGAGCAGGGCATCCTGAGCATGCAGCCCAGATGGTGGGCTTTATCATTGGAAGAATACATCTTGGCCCTCCTCTGTGATGGCCAATAGAACTATAATGTAGGCCATCTGTGCAATTAAAACTATGCAGTAACTACATTTAAAGAATGAAAAGAAAGAAGTAATATTAATGTTAATAATCTATTTTGTGTAATGTAATAGACTCAAAATACCTTTTCAATATCTGAGTCTAAGAAACTACTAATGAGATACTTTAATCTATTTTTTTCTGTACCAACTCTTAGGAATTTGATCTGTGTCTTTCACATGTAGCGTCCTCATTCTGTCCTGGCCACAACTTGTAGCCAGCACATTAGACAGTGGGGTACAACTCATGGCCTGATCACTGCTCACATGTGGCTTCCACCTCAGTGTGGAACATTTTCAAGCACCCAGTCCTACCTACAGGTGAGAATGTATAATCAGCATACACCTTGCAAAAGGACAATGACAGTATATGTCAGCAGCCTTCAAATGGCACATGTCTTTTAACCTAGCAATTCATTTTCTGGAAGTTATCCTGAGGAAATGACCAAAGTTGAGTGTAAAGGTTTAAGTACAAGGATACTCCATACAGTGAACATTTGGAAAAACCCTAAATTTCCATATAACAGGATTCTATTGACCATCTTGTGATATATTAGTTGAATACTATTCATAAGAGAAAGACAGAAAGAGAGAGACACACACACAGTGACAAAGAGAGATGATATACACACAAGTTTAGATACATAGAAAGTTTCTAGAAAAAAATAGTAAGAAAAGTCTTAGAGTTACTTCAGGGAAGAGAAATTGATAGGCAGAGATGAGAAGAAGTGACTTTATGTTTCATTTATACTTTGAAACTATTAAGAGTTTAAGAGTTTTGTAGTTTAAAAAACAGTTAACAAAAAATGATATTGTATATTATCATAGAATGATGAAAGGAAAAGTAGTTCAGTAAAAGGTAGTTTCAAATATATATACTCTACTCCTGTCTTTAATAAAACTGTGTGTTTAAGCACAGAAAACGAGAAACCAGCCTGAGCTTCAGAACTAAAGGTGCAGCTTGCTGGGATCATCTACTACCTCACTGTAAATCTATGGCTGGCTTGATGGGATCAATCAATGCAGATCTGGACTCAGTTTTCCCACCATGTATACTACTGACAGCAGAGACATGCCCTGAGGTGGACATTTTTCTTTTTCTTTTTTGTTTTTGCTTTTTCTTGATTTTTTTGTTTTTATAAAAGTGTGAATGTTGTTTCTAGTTTTTTGTATATTCTGTTCTTGATTTTATTT